CGTCCCCACGGTGTATGGTCACTTCCTCCTCAGCGGGTTGAGGTCCCTCCCATCTTTCTTAGCAACAAGTACAAAGGAGAAACATCATTGCTGTTAGAAATTGCTCCACGTGTAGCTGAATCCATATCAACAGCCTTAACCTGAAATTCATTTCATTTTGAAGATTTAAAACATAAAAGCAGAGTGTTTTTGCTTTCCAACCCAAACAAACATGGGGAAAGAAAGCACCGGGTATTAGTGAACCTAGGCCACAGCACTTCAAAATGTGGTGCCCAAAATATAATTTCATTTTTTTGCAAAATTATGCCTCCCCTCCCGCCTGCCCTTCTTGGTATTTATTTACCTCTGCTCATATTTCACCAAATTATATTCCCCCAAAAGTATTTTTTTTAATGTAATGGTAATTTTAGATGATAAATATCAAGATGCTCAGGAGGATGATTTACATTGGGGCAAAAATTCTTCCCACACAGAAAAGTGTACAAGAAGTTTGGGTAAAAGGTGATTATATGTTAATAAAAGAATGAAGAAATATTTAGGTATTAAAATAAGATCTGCATCAGAGAATTATGCTTCATATTAGGCCAAACCTGTACAAGAGGGAGACTTCTATAAATACTCATGCTTTGCTTTAGTAATCATCTATAGTGATGGTTGGAACCTGGACACATAAATAAAGCAGCACACACGTCAGTTCAACTGAAACAAAAGCAGTGTGAAGACAGAACCTGGACAGAAACCAGAAGACTTATTCACATATTTAAATGAGCACTTACTTATAAGCTTCTATGTTCTTGAATTTATCAAAAGTGCCACTAGGCTTCATCTTTAGGAATAGTTTTTAATAATGTGCAGTTCTTTGTCCTGAGCCATAACTGAGAGTATAGAGATCACCATAATTGATCTTACCTTTAATTTGCTGAAGGCCTTCATAGATGGTTTTCATTAATTGAACATGTGTGGTAAATATCCATTATCCAGCCGATGCTGAGCAAATCTGATTTAATGTGAACACTACTGATCACACAAACAACTTGTAACTTCGGCCACCACATGGAGCCTCTGTCGTGGACAGATTACTAGACAAGGCTATTGAAATAAACTGTTGAATTCCTATAGGCCTATGATGGCACAACCCAACACTCTTGTTTATTTCTAGTTGAATCATAGAGTTGGATTTTTGGAACAAGGAATGTTTCTTGACAAGCAGAATTTTTAGCTTTAACCTGGTATCCTATGGAGCCAAGGGTATCACAGTATTTTTTCTTTTCTTTTCTCAAAGTGTAAAATAAATGTGGCCATTTTAAGATTTTATGAGATGGTTAAAATGCCTGTGATTTTGGTGAAGCGTGGAGATCATTTCCCCTACCCTGCACCTGTACTGTAGTGAGGGGAGAGATGGGGAGGCAGGGAGTGGGGCTCCTATAACTACAGGCCAGGCCCAGCTCTCGTATACAGAGACTGCATCCGTCTTATTCTCTAGTCTGCATGAGTCACCTATTTCAAGTTACTCTAAAGGTTCTCAGGAAACATATGGAATGTTTGTGTTGGGTAAATGCTGCCTTCTGTACTACAGCTTCTCCACGAACCAGCACAACACTCACCGCATACAGGTGTCTCTGAGACTCTCTCCAGCAGATCTACCTGATCCTCCACCGTCGGGCCCACTGCTGGCTGTGCCCCTGCATTATACTCATACATTATTTATGTAATTAGCATGTATTTGACAGTATCCCCAATAGATGGCAGACTCCTTCAGGGAAGGAACAACATCCTTTCACCTCTTTACCCTTCCGATGCCTAACATCAACTCTGGCACATAGTAGGTCCAAAGGAAATTGCATTTGAAAGAATGAGCCATATTTTAAAAAGGAAAAGGGTATTTATAAGATAGATCCCTGAACGAATGCCAGCAAAATCACTAAAAACCACAAGATTCATGAAACATCAATATATTGCTGGGTAATGGAATTTTTGTAATAATGAATATAATTATAGAAATTAAAATTTTCACTTCAAAAGATCTAGACTGTTCTGGTTTGAAATGAGAAGGTTCAACTGACAGGTCTTTGAACCCAGAGAAGGAGCTTGTTGATTTGAGGGGTGGCTGTAACCTCTTCTCCTGTGGCTGCCAGGGTGGTTTTTCTAAAAGCAGTTAAAATGTTGAAGGTCAGCACAGATGCAGGGAGTAGAAGCATCCATTAACAACGGGAGACTTGAATAAAATATTAAGTTTCAACTTCTTTTCTGGCAAACACACTTTAATTAATCAAACTCACTAGAACAAATGTTCCAAGGGAGAACCTTGAGAAAGCACTAGTAAAGGGACTTTAAAAAAAAAGGGGGGGGGTGCTATTAAATAATTAATTATGTTTTTTAATGTTTTTCATCTGGGTGCAGTAATAGCTTTATTGTATACATAGCCACTTTGGTATAGTAATCATTATATTAGAATTTCATGTTAATCTCACATTGTCTAGTGTCAGAAATATAACATGGTTATTATTTACAGAAATTGAATAAGTTAATGAGGTATGGAAGGCATCAAAAGCATTGTCATTATAAATAACAAGTTTAGTTAGTGATTGTTCCTAGATTAAGAAAAATGCAAAACATAGGATGTCAAAATGGAAATCAGCCTAAAACAGGAAAGGATTTATTTTAGGATCTGCAAAGTGCCGGACACGCTACTCACCTAGTCACGGCTACAGCTGTCACTGACTTGCTTTTAGCAGCTACGCTCTTTACGTTCATTTTAAAACAAAGAGGAGGAAAACTCAGAAAGATTTAATAACTTTGCCAAGGCCACGTGGCTCTATGATGGTCGCACTTCGCCCTGCAGAATCTGTCACTCTGGGATCACCTCACTTGCTTTTATTCACAAAGCGGGAACAAGTGGGTAGTGTCTTTCTTCCCTACCTAGCGCCTTTCTACTGTAATTCGCCTGCATGGGGTGGTTCTGCACTGTAGGGTACTGGACAGTAGGAGCCATGTCATGTTCATTTGCACTCCCAGCATCCTCAAAACCATCAGCCACGTGGCACAGTACAGATTTACTGAATATTTTGGATAAATGCATTAAATCAAAGAGTGAAATTATACCATAAACTCATGAAAAGTTGTGGTTATGTCATTCCCTCATCTAGTTATTTAATTTTCTGACTATCTTCTCCAAATCGGTAAACTTGTGTTTTCCCTCTCTGTTTTCTCTTAGTGGAGAAAGAGGATCTGGAAAGTCTGAAGCCAGCAAGCAAATAGTGAGACACCTAACCTGTAGGTCTGGCTCCAGCAGGGCTCTATTTGATTCCAGATTTAAACATGTAAGTTTCTTGTTTGGGTTGGCAAACATGTGAATGACTTTGTTGAGCTAAGAAAATGTCATTGACAAATAGAAGGAGACATCATAATGGATACAAGGTGGCTAAAATTTTTGGAATTAAGAAAAAAAAGGAGATTGAGTTCTGGTGCAAACTAATATTGTTTGAGGTTTATTTTCTTTAATATGTTTAAAAATATTTTTAACTTATTCTCTTTTTATATTCGCTCTAAATAGTTGGGTCTAAAACATGTCATATAGAGATTGTTGTGGTTCACATAGGAATTGACACTTTGGTATGCTGGTACATTTGAGGGGTCTGGCCTGGGAAGCAATTATCCTGGGGGATTATTGAGAGCTGATGTTTCATTGTATCTAAAATAACTGACGACTGTAAATCTTAATGATGTCGAAGGGTAGGTAATAAACCCTCACCTCCTAAACTTATTTTCAATTATATTCAGAAACACAAGCCCCTGCTTGTCCATGTACTGATTCTCTTGTTTTTATACAGTTCTAGCAAGTTTTAAAAGTTTTTTTTCCAGACTATAGCAAATCAGAAACTCCAGGGAAGCTAGAAGGCTCCAGCAATCATGCACGCTAACACACACAAGGAAGGGCACCTCACGGTAGAGAACAGAAAAAATAACAATCAATAATCAATCAAAAAAAATAATCGGAACTCAATAGTCCGCTGCTCTAGGATCCCTTACCTATGGGTCGAACCATCCACGTTTCAGCGTGTCTCTTGGAAATCACTCTAGAGGAATGGACGTTCATGTTGATTGCCCTAAGTTTGATGTGAACGTTGTTTCAGAGGACACTTCAGCCCTGTTTATGCACGTGGCCTCAGCCCCCGGCTCTTCATCCCACCTGTTCCTTAAAACGTAGACCCACCTGTCCAACAGACCTCCCAGACATTCCACGGTGCACTGCATAGATACGTCCAGATCTTCATGCATTATCTGCCTTCCTCACAATAACCAGGCTGTTGTTTCCTCAAGTCCACAGGCAGAAACCTGGAATTCACTCCAACTGCAGTTTCTCTTTCTATCTCCAACACAGTCACAATGCCTCTCGGGCCTGGCGCTTTTGCCTGTCCCATTTTCTTCAGGCCCCCAGTCTTCACTTGTTGAGACTGTCATCTTCTCTCATCGGAGTCCCTTTGAGAATCTTCTCAGTTGTTCTCTATTCCCCATCCTTGACTGTCTTCTGATGCACGTCCATATGGCCAGTCTCGGTTGACCAGCTGCTCTGGTCCCAGGTCAGGTCACTCACCCCTGGGCACTGTTCTCACCTGCTCAGAGGGTGCAGGCAGAGGAGGGGCCCACTTCTGTTCACAGTTACAGGACTGAACTTAGACAGTAGTTTCCTTAGAACCCATCTCTAACCAGCAGCTGTGTGTTCACTCGAACAATTAAAAGGAACCAGAGGAGAGTCAATCTGGGAGAATGACTGCAGCGTGCACCGCTCTACGTCCTTTGCTCAAATCCCTGGAGTGATCCTGTGTCCCCGTACACTGTCCAGTACGTCCTCCTGGCCCCACATTCTTCCTGACAATCTCATTTCCTTCTCTAGCCTTGTAGACACTTCCCGTCCCTACTCTGTACTGAAGCCACCTTTGAACGTGTGTCCCTCCCAAATCGGGTCATGCTCCCCACTCATTGGTCACTCATTCAACAAGCACCTGTGAAGTAACTGCCGGGTGCCTGTCCCTTCTGAGGTGCTTCCTCAGCTGCCACATGCCAGCGACCAGATTCTATGGGGACAGTGAGGGAATGCACGGATAAAACATTTTACCTAGGAGACATGGAATTATCCCAAGTTTCCTGAATTAACTGACTAATTTTATCTCATAATGTAATATGGATGAATCATTTGTATGTCATCAGGACCTTGTACATTTTGGTGTGTGTGTTACAGAATCAACACTGTCATTTAATTGTGTCTATCTTACATGATTTGCCTTTTTCTGGTTTGTTTTTTTGATTTTTCTGTTTGGTTTTTGGTGGTTGGCTGGTACATGCATCAGACCTTGAACCTTGGTGTGGTCAGCACCAAGCTCCAGACAACAGAGCTCACCAGCCGGCAGCCCTGCTTTGCCGTTATTAGATAATGGCAACTTTCTCCCTCTTCCTCTTTTTATTTAACACACACACACACACACACACACACACACACACACACACACACACACATTTTTGGCCAAGGGTAGGAAACACATATTTATTTAAAAAATCTCTTCAGTTTGAGAAAACATTAACTGTATGTATCAAAAATTATGTTCACTTTCTCATACACATAAAAATAAGTTTTGCTAAATGTAAATCAACATGCTTATGTAACATTCAAGAAAATAGTGTACATGCGTGCTGTATCATTTCCTGACCAAAAATAATACATTCTACACATGACAGGCCCTCCTATACCAGTACAACTCTCTCTCCTGCACTTATTTCAAAGTGAGGTGTTGCACGTGAAATGATGTGCCTCCAGTGTCTCGATGGCACGTGTCTCCCTGTATGTGCATTTTCAGAAAGATACCTGCACCTCATTCACAATTTTATATTTAAAAGTGTCTGATTATACTGGAATGAAACAGTTGTTATTTTAGCTCATTCCCTACAGCAATGCCATCTAAAAGTTTGAAAGCTAGAAATCTAGAAATACATGGTGCAGTGAAGATAGCACTGTTTGTTTTTGTGTCACCTGCTCTTTTATCTGGTACTGAAAGGCAGAGTTATTTCTATGATTGGGGGGCGGGGGTTGGCTTGGAATTATTCTGGAAATTTACAGTATCGTATTCCTCACTTAGAAACAAGAGGAACTTATGTTCACTCAGTAGATTAGTATTATTTCTTTATATTTTCTACGTAAAAATGATAAGTCCTTAAAAGATTAAATCTGCTATAATGGATCATTAAGCTTATCCCTGATTCTGGAGATTTTCCTCTTTATAAAAAATGTATAATGCATCAATTCTGCAGCATATCAATGATATCATATGTTTTCATTAATGACTTTAATTCATAACCATTTAATCCTGTACAGTATTGAGTGCTAGCATAATTCTACAGCACAGCTCAAAATAATTTAATATTTAGAGTTAACTTGGGAAGAATAGCTTAAATGATCTTTTTTGTTCGACTATGCTAATACACTAACTACTGATACTTAGGGGTCAAAGCATGTAGGTAACAACATGGTTATAAAGTAGACTCAGCTTAACTAATAGAAATAGCAGAATCTATTGACTTAATTGTAATAACAAAGGACAATAGTTCTCCCTGTGAATTATAGACTAAAACAATAATTTATTAAAACAATCATTTAAGAGAGAACAGGCTGTATAATTTCTCAAATGCATTGTACATTGTGTGAATTGGCTTTGCATTTTAGTTTAAGTGAATATATTCTAATTTGCATTCCTTTAGATTAGATAGATATAACTCCTCTTCCATGTCAATTAGCATCTCAGAATCAAAACTACAAGGTAAATGCAAATTTGACGTAAAACTACTTCTAATTCACTTGTTTTATTTATCCCTCATGGCAAGTAAAAGATATCAAACATAAGCAATTTCTAGTCTCATGAAAAAACATCACCCAGGTTTGAACATGGCTTAAACTCTGTGCCAAATATGCTTTGTTTCCCTTTAAATTATCATCCTCATGAACATCCTTCAGTGCCTAAGATGTTCATGAAAATTACCGATAACAGGTTTTGCAAAGCACCCTACTATGTGTACAGAAATTATATGCAAGCATTGGATAAATGTATGAATTGGCTGTAAATCTTTACGAGATTACAAGGGTTCAGTGAAATTAAATGTATTTGAGATATGGGCCAGTACTTTTTGCATAGAAAAAAGAAAAATCCAATTAGGGAAATGAGTAGAAGAGAGCATCCTTTGTATACGGAACTATTTAGTACAAGGTTTGAAGTTCAGTACAAGATAAGATGAAAGGCATGTTCATTAGGTGACCCTAAAAGGAGAGGCAGGTTAGCCATGTTGGATCGTGAGATGGCACTGGCAGGTGTGCAGAGTGCTGGCACGTGGGTGTGGGCACAGCACACACACACACAGTACCTTCCTTTGGGAGAAGCTGATTGAACCTTAAACAATAATTTTGCACTGAATTCTAGTACAGTGTGAGAGGAAAGGAGTCATTGGAGGTTATTTTGACCAGCAATTGCCAAAGAAAATATAGAAAAAGAATGGCAGAAAAAATAAAAGTAAGGACCTACTGGGATGGTCTTTGGTACATAATCATGCAGAGGCTGAGGAGTAGAGAGTCTTCCCTGTGGTTGACATCAGTGCACCACAGTCAGAATTAAAGGTTATAATCTCAGTGGAGAGAGGGGAGGAAAAGACCAAGAATAAGGGGTTTGGAGGAAGGTGACCCTTGGTCAGTGTAACACCAGCATGGTTTGCAGTATACTGTCCATGAAGGCGACCGAGGGAGGTGGGAGGAAAAGAAAGATGTAGTTGATTTCCGGAAGGTGAAGAAGAGTCCAGCATTGAGGTCCAGAAATGACTTTTGGTAATTATAGGCAGGTTATACACTTCTTTTTAAAAGACACAAAACTGAATCATTTCTAAATTGTAATCTTGCATTTCAGTTGTCCCATCTTAAATGTCTACACGAGTGTACATTGTGCCTTTGCCATGTGCTCCAAAGTGCACTTTTTCCACTGCGTAGACGGATGGAATTCTACACCCTAGTTATTGCTTCCCCCCCCCCATGCAATTTAGAACAACTAAGATCAGTTAAAAAGGGATGTTTTGATTTTAATCCTTGTGTTTAAATTTCAAACGATGGAAGCAGGGGATTTTCCATGGCATTAGATTTATTGGAACCGAAAAGTCTTGTTTTGGAAAGAAACTGCCTGGGACTTCTCATCCCTTCTGGCCCAAATGAATTTCAGCTTGAAGAAACATTCAGTTCCATTCAAATCACTTCAATAAGCATCTACTGCGCAACAGCTTTCACAGCAGAGTAAGATGCTCAATTTTATTAAGGATTGAGGATTTTTATTGAGGATGCTGTAGGTTTTCTCTTTGAGAAAATATAGTGGATTAACTACTGCCATAATAGTACATAATTTTTATTGACATAACTGTTGAAATATATAAGGAAAAATACTATACAGTATAAATTTAAAAAATCATGCAATAAAATTTGAATCAGTAAATACTGAGGTTATCTATAATTTCCTTCACTTATACTTTTATTTAAAATTTTATTACTGTACAACATTCTCATAATTTTCAAAGTCAAGGTGAGCAGTGGAATTGTACCAGTGCCACCTATTGGCCAAATGGCTAATTAAAGAGGAAAACCACTGGTAATATTTTAATTTTGAATTACAGAACAACAGTGCACAAAGAAAGAATGCCGTGTGTGTTTACGGTTTGCTAAGTGGCTTTATCTTTACATTAGCTTCATGCCTTCCATGTCTGTATTGTTATTGTGACAGTAGTAGTTGTCAGATGCGGTGACCGGGTGTGATTCTGCAGCCAGATTGCCTGGGGTCAAATCCCAGCTGCAATATTTACAAACTCTGAGCTGTGGGGAAGTTATTTAATCTCTTAATTTCTTTCTTTCTTTTTTTTTTTTTTTTGTAAAATGGAGGCCCTAGTTTTAAAGAATTGAAAGAAAACACACATGCATACACAAACATGCACACACACCTCACTTTAGAATGTTGCCTGACATACAGCAAGAACCATAGAAATGTAGTCTATTATTATTAACAAATGCAAAGTTAATTGTTATTGCTGAATGTTTGCTGTGTGCCATACAATAAGCTGAGCGCTTTACCTGACACTGACAACCACCGAAAGAGTTATTCCTGTGTTAAAAATAAAGAAAGGTGAGGTTTGGAGAATTTAAGGAACTTAGTCTCATTCAGTTTGTCATTAGCTAAACTGGGGTGTGGAGACAGCTACTTCTCCTGCATTTAACCATTACCCTATACTTCCTGTGTGGGGCACATGTCATTAATTACCTATAATGTCTTTTTTTCTAGAATAATAAGAACATTACCTTTATTATCAGATACAACACCAAAGTAACTAGAAACCAAAATATTTTTAAAAATTCATCCTAACCACTTTTATGACTTTTTAAACAATTGTTTAATGTATTAATATAAATGTTTAAAATGTGATATAATTACACTATTAATTTCACTACAAACACATCACTATATATTTAATATTAGATTATTGGAAAGGATACAAAAATAAGAGCTTTGTAAGTTCTATTTCAAATTATTTCTTAGAGAACATTTCTGTCATCGCTGTTATGAATTTACTTATCATCTTTAAAGTTATTATTATATAAAGACCTAAGTGATTGAGTTTTTATAAAGATTTGATATGTGTTTATCTTAAAAGTCAATCTTCAAAAACAGGTGGTTTAACATACTTCACTATTACGGCAGCTTTTAGAACTTTTGATTTGTGCTTAGCATCAAAGTGTTGTCTTATCTTTCACAATATAACATACTTCAGGGAGAATTAAATGCCTTAGTATAGCAGATGTCAGGAAATTAAAAAGTAGGATGAAAGCATTTTTTAAAAATTCAGAATAAAGTTCCCAAAAAATACTGTTACCAAAAATAACAGGGAACAGGAAAACAACCCAGTGTGTCAATAAGGTGTTATTTTGCACCCTCTTGTGGCTGATGCAGAAACTGCATTTAACCTATGTGTGTTTTGTGTACATATAACTGCACAATTTTATTTTTATTTTTTAATTGAAACACAATTGATTACACATATTTTTGGTTGTACAGAAGTGATTACCAGTGTTTTGTACAATATGTGATTATCAAATCAGGATAGTTGGCATATTCGTCATTGCAGTACATACTCATTCTTTATGTCCATTAACCAATTTCTCCCTAACCCCACTCTCTTTTCTTCCCTCTAATAATCACAGTTCTGAGACAGAAAAACACCTTTGAACCTTCCAGATTTTCATACTTTTGGGAGAATTGCCTGGTCACCATAATTATCACAGGCACAATCAATTGATGGAAAACAAATAACTTCTATATACTATGGTCAAT